CATTGTCGAAATTAGACCCCACTACCACAAAAATAAGATACACTTTTTCTACTGTACAACTACATGGATATCTTTTGTTTTTGATTATTGCGCAATTGCAATTTTCATCTTTTTTCGCTTCGCTCCGATAAAGTGTCTGGAAAACGTGTGGGTTGCCTGTGGTTGGTCTAGACCGAGTTAGCCTGGTTCATTGCGCAATATTTCAAGATGGCGGACGGAGTGATAGTGTGAGTAGACAACGATTCTTTAAGATTTTTACTTATCTTAAAGCTTTTCGACGGAGTATTTCTGGAAAAAGTCGTAAATTCAACTAACTTATATTTCGTTAATCTAATATGCTTGAAAAATTTAATTACTAACCGATTTCTAAGTAGTTTTTTCGTGTCTTGTCCGTAGTAAAGCGAAGACTCAAAGAGGCAAGCGTGTTATTGAAAGCAAAGCACCAAAAGCCGTAGAGAACACTAAAACAGCAATRTTTATACGTGGAGGAAAGACCAGTGAAGTTGTGACACAAGCCTTAAAAGATTTAGTGAGTTCGACATCTTTTTATGGACGTGGTCTACAGTCTTAGTGAACCCACGTGTGTTGTAATGTATATGTGCACGTGTTTCTAAAAAATATTAATATTCTCCCTCCCCCCTTAAAAACTACACGATATACTCTCCCCAAACCTTGGAAATTCCAATCCCTGCCTGTTGAGGAATGAGGAATGGATATTTTCTAAAGCTACACAATATACCCTCTTTTAAAATGCAGACCTTCCTCTTCCCTTGGTAATTCAAATCCCCCTCTATGGAGGAGGTATGGATATTTTCTGGAACTAAACAACATACCCTCCCCATCCTTGGAAATTCCATTCTCCCTCTGTAGGGGAGGTATGGATATTTTCTGTTACTACACAATTTACCCTCCCCATACCCACCCCTCCCCTTGAAAATATCAATGCTATTTGTCTATCAATGAATATTTACATTTATTATTATTTTTCAACAAAGTGTGCACTCAAGAAACCAAATGGTGTAATGTTTCAAAGGTAACATTAAAAATGTACAGTATATACCTATCATTTATATACGACACTCTCAATTTTTGTGGTATTAAAACAATTTTTCAAGTGCAATTACAGAGCGTTAATGCACAGTCCAGTAAAGCCAATTGAACCAGTTTTGATTTTCTTTTGTGGATGTCAGTGCAAGGAAATTTTTTTGCTTTTCCTTTGTACTGTTTATGTCAGTGGCCATAAATGTTAGTGTAAAAATATTTGAATATTGTTTTTTTTATGTGTGCTGCTGCAGCACATCTCACTGATATTTATTTCCTGAACATGTGAGTGACGTCACAGAAGACACCCTTTAATACAGGGAGTTTTAGTTGCAAATTAATTAAATTTTTATTTGTTAAATTTTATTTAAGTTGTATTTTTAATTTCGTTTCCCCCAGAAAAAATATATTAAAACCATTTGAAGATCAAACTTCTTTGGTGAGTATAATCATTAAACAGCACTTACCTGGAGTTGAAGTTTGATTAAGATTCTATTCTGTCATCGGGCACTGAGGGATTACGTGAGACCTCATTGTGGTGATAGAATACAACCTCAATGCTCTCGAAGAATTTTTTTGAAGGTAGGGATTTTTGTTAACCATTTCATTTGTTTGCCATTAGGAATTCTTTTCTGTCAAAAATGATGCATCTTTGTTTGTCTATGGATCTCACTCCAAGAAACGGCCACACAATCTTGTTATAGGTAAGATTGACAGCTTTATTCACATTCCCATGGGAGGGGAGAGGACATCATTGTTTGTCTATGGATCTCACTCCAAGAAACAGCCACACAATCTTGTTATAGGTAAGATTGACAGCTTTACTCACATTCCCATGGGAGGGTAGGGAACATCATTGTTTGTCTATGGATCTCACTCCAAGAAACGGCCACACAATCTTGCTATAGGTAAGATTGACAGCTTTACTCACATTCCCATGGGAGGGGAGGGGAAATTTGTCACAACGTTGTAATAGGAACAAGAGGAAGCAKAAATTGCAACCAATGCAGTCAATAGCCCCTTGTATGGTTCGAGTGCTCATAGTGTGGAGTAGACCCACATTGTATCACTATTCTAACAGCTGATTAATTTTACCTAGATAGATAGATCTAGATAAGTTGCATTTGTATGGTCTAAAAGTTGTTATTGTAAAGAGTATAGAGACTCTCATTTGAAGTGCTAAAGAATCTATGGAGCAATTTTAGAATACCCYGCAAATGATATGCAGTTGTYGGAACTCTTTGTAGAAYGACGCATACAACAATAGAAGTCATGGTCATTWAGTATGTGCATATGATTTGCRGGKTATTCTAAARTTGTACMRAATCTATTATTATAATAWTCRAAGCTGGATTTGTATAAGTTTCTAAACATGTAAGGGAATGCTCATTGTTTTGAACCCTGGCTAACATTATGATGATATTTTATGCATATTTTAGGAAGATGTTATGATGGCCATGTGTTAGACATGATAGAACTGGGAATAGAAAAGTATAAAACTCTGCAGAGTTTTAAGGTGAGAAACAAGTCGTTATTATTTAAGAAAAAAACAACAGTAAAAGGCCATTATTAGAGTGCATACTGTATATCCATCAAAAAGTTAACTAACAAAATTCTATTGAATTAGAGCAAAGTTTTGTAAGTCTACAGTTTATTATAATATAACTAGATTATTACGCGTGCTCTAATTGGCCAAAAACCAATGAACTATCAGTCCCCATGGGCTGCACGCTCGCGCACGCTGATCTCAACGGATGCTCGCCTTTTTTCTCAAAATTTTCAAACCCGATGGCGTCAATAGCACGTGCACGAGCGAGATTGGTGATATAACGCGCACTCTGATTGGCTGAAATGCCTATGAACTATTTGCCCATGGGTCACACGGTAGATTTTTGGTCATATTATAAATCAGTTAGACAACATAAAAGCGCTCGCCCATGGCGATATAGACGCACTTGAGAAAATATAAAGAACGATTAACAAGCRAAAGAGTGGCACGAGGCGAAGCCGCGTCTATATCGTGCGTCTATATCGCCATGGGCGCGCGCTTTTATGTCGTCTAACTGATAAATGAACTTACTAATTTGTGCAAATTTGTGGAATTTCTTTACAATTTTTCACGGATATATTTTATGCACTCTACTGTAAAATTCCTTGTAATGTATGTTGATACATATGTCTGGTGTTTTTATTGTTTTTAGACCAGCAAGTGTACCATGGGAACAAAGCCATGTTTGTTGTTTACAGGAGAGGCTTTTGACAGTGAAACAGAATACAAGAGACTCAAGAACATGCTAATAGGTAAATCAAGAGAGCATAAATAAGAGGGGGAAACTTCTTATTGTGGCAAAAGCCATGTTGAAACTATTTTTAGTAACAGGATGTAGTTTAAATTTTGTCTTACACTACTCCTTTGCATCAACTTGCGTGCTAGTTTTGATTGACAGCAGTGAAAAATAAAATATCAGTGTGCAGTTCGCACCTACCAAGTTCCCAGAAATTATATCAAAAATGTAGTAAATATTTCATGTTTTTTTCTATTAAAGATTTTTTCCGAGGGCCTGTTATTGAGAAAGTCAGGTTACAAGGGCTGGAACACGTAATACAAGTCGCAGTTGTTGATGGAAAGATATTATTTAGAAGTTACAGGTAATTCAATTGAGCATCCCTTAAAGTTGGAACTACACAATATACCCTCCTCAGACCCTCCTCATCCCTTGGAAATTCCAATCTTTCTGGGGGGGGG